TTCTAGCTTAAGTAAGATCAAAAAGAATATATATAATCTTATGAACAAACATCAAGCTATCGAATGAATACATATTTATATTTCTCCTACAAGATGTGCTTGTTAAGAAGCTTCATCTTCGGTTACGTGAGGTTATGAGTCACTTATGGACGGCCTTATCAGTGTAGGCGTTTGATATGACTGTATTGATATAAACATTGTTTCCCCGGTACACCTGATCTTCCTTTGTGACCCGTCCACCGAATACGAGCATTTTATCCGATATTAATGTGTTGGATAAGACAGCTACTAGCTCTAACGTCACGCGGGAAGGTCCTACCTATCTAAGTATCTGCGAATGGGTCGCGGTCGAACGAAAATGATTGATTATCTGCGAGCCGGCAATGAGCGCCATGTTGTCCGATATGGAAGGAGACGAGAATTTACTGCGATCGCCAAATTTGTCCTACATGAACTTGACGCGACCAGGTACGACAGTGGTGTTTTTTTACCATCCAGGCCAGCATAAGGCGGTGCTATTAAAGTATTAATGTATCGGCAATTATGCTGTCGTGATAGCAGCAGGATTAAATTGCTAACTGCCGGTCTAATGCATATACGCCGACTTGAAAGCTAATAGACTGATATTTACAATTACAAGGAAGAAATCTGTTGAGTTGATCCGTCAAGCTGGAAGACGGCATAATTAATCGTTGTGTCATTGGCGAACAAATAATAGCTGCAATCATTATTCAAACTTGACTGTATTGACCATGATGTGACCTTGTGGCTCAAGCTTCACGACAAATATACGTTTAGTGGTTATACATTTCAAGACCCGTTTCGGACGTACGCATATGACGCTAAGGTCATCGATCAGGCTTCTATCAGAGATGCTAGAACTCAGATAATATAATTTAAAAAGTTAGCGCTAACGCTAATTGCATTTGCCACCTTGCGAGTTGCCATACGGCCTACCTGATTTATATAAACACACGATTATTTCGGTGTTCATGAAGGGACTTGTGAGTTGTCTCGTCAAGAGCCATCTTTTTTGACTGAAGATGTATATGATAGAAAATGATAATGCTGTGGTGGAACAGAAAGACCATATCTTGGTCGTGGCATACTTGATTTCCTGATATAGTTAACAACACATTTGAGCTGCTATGACGAAATAAACGATTTTTATAAATACATAAGGAGACCACTATTTAATGAGAAACGCCTTTACATCGCTTATTGTTCAAAGCCTCAGCGTTTAATTCGTCGAGCCAAAATCTCTTAGTCGGACGCGTGTATCAACCAACGCTGATACCGCGGTAAGTATCGACGCACTGATACCCGTTGACGCCAATTATATATGAACCTTGTATCATTACCGCCGCTAATGCCCTTGAAATTGTTACTAAACAAATTATCGAAGCAATTCATTTATATCACCTTTGCACTAAGATTGGATAAACGGAAACGAAAATGTCTGCTTAGTACCAAGATCCTTTGATGCGAAGTATTCATGAAGGTTTGGGCAGGAGGGAGATAGATTTCGAGTGTACGCCAGAAAAAGACGACATCAACCTGTCCATTGAGGCGATAATTATACGACCAAATCGAACACTAAAACTATACACCGCAACTTGATGCAATCCATGTAGCACTTTTTTAACAATCTATCGATCAAATAGGATATAGAAATTGTAATAGACGCGCTTACATCACAACACATTGCTGATGACGTTGTAGCGGGACTACCACAGCTCTTTGACATAGGAAGGCTTAAGCTCAACGAGTCAATCAGTTTGCAGAACGATCGACATCAGCGAGTCAACAAGTTTTTATAACTAATACTGAAGGAGGCATTTAGTTATCAAACAACGACTTAACGAGTCCGATATCTCAAAGATCAACGACGTAATGTGACGGGGTAGCCCGTTACATGACATTGTATTTAAGGATAAAATGAAAATAAACAATATTACGTTGAATGTTCTTTCAACAATATCACAAACGATAATGATATTGCTGGGATGACCGAATGGACTACTCATTGGTTGATATCATGATAATATCAACCCACCGATGGCTGCTAGTCGCGCGCAATGGGTGATGAGTAGTCGTTATCATACGTTTAGTTCGATTAAAATAATTATGTCAGGACGAACAGAGACACGAGAGTGATAGGACTTATTTGTATTATTTAACATTTTTACTTTTACTACGACTAAGGTTCTTACCTTAGTCGTTACCTTCCACTGTGTAAGTGTTTACACGTAGCTGGGCACTGACCTTTGCTATTGTCAGTGAAAGGTAAACTTCGTACTGGTAGTCCAGTACGTAATCGTCGGTGCCCCGTTACACCTAACGAGTTGAAGCTCACAGAGCTTCTTGTTTTGAGTTTGGGTACCTAATCATTACAGGACTTTATATTGCAGACATTTTTAAGGCACACGCGCTTGAGGGCACTTTGTCCAACTGTTCTTAGCATCAGTTGTACAAAGTAATCAAGCGTGTATGAGTGAATCTCTCAAGAAGGATTGTGAAGTCTTTACGGTCCAAAACGCCTTAGCAAGGCACGTGTCTTGCAGTGGCCAAAGTGTTAACTGATGTTAATCTCATTTTTAGCGCGGAACGAAAGCCCGCCGAAGTATGTAAAGGCAAGTTTTTGCTCTCTACTAGAGTAAAATCCCCCGACACGTAATTTAGAGGTGGCTAAAATGCGTCCCTAATCGTACTTCGTGCTCCCGAGCGAATGAGTGGTGTGTACCACACACCACGTACCCACTTCGTGGTTGCACCACCAAAGTGTACCTCCGATACAGACGCTCTCTCGCATTTCGGGCAGCTGCAATGCGCACAATACACTCCTTGTGGGTGCAAAGCAATGCATTTGCTTCTTTGTCTTTCCCTTTCGATCTACGATTCGCATTTGTAGCTTGTCAATCCGCGAAAACTTTGTATATATCCGCTTATGAGATCACCAATCGTGTCACGAGCACTGTACCGCCTGTAGCTCTGTAAGTTAGGACAAACGATGCCACAACTGACAATGCTGCTGCGACGTAAGCGCCTTTTCGTTCGCTCGTAGTTGATGCACTACTTGCGAGCGCTTGTTGTCAGTCCATGTGTCTTTGTCCGCAGAGACAGACGCTCGACGCACAGGCAGTACGCTGGGCGAATAGCCAACGCGGTTGTAGAGACGATAGGACCCCAGCTGAGGGATCCAGTGCGTCTGTCGCCCGTCCCTACTTCTTCACCTTGACCTTGCGATACAAGAAAGCACACAATCCGTCGTCGCTGTGTCCATTGGTGTACTTTACGATACTTTGTAAGCTGCAGAATGTCGTGGCATCATTAGGGAAAGGCCCTAACGTCAGGATGTTTTCGCAGTCTCGTCCGTATGAAGACAGACACACTACAGCGTGGCGACTTGACTGCATCGCTACCCGCGTGTCGCGTGCTCTCTCTGAGTGGCATCTGTACAAACTTCGTATAAAAACGTCAAACACCATGTCGATAGTGTACGATCGCGAGGAGTAAACAGTGCATCCAACAACAGCTCATGGAATCAAGTACGACAACGACACATCTACTGCACTTTACGAAGGAGACCTGGCTGCTGATTTCGTAGAAGAAAGGAAACCTGACAGCCTGTCGTGGTGTCAAACCAAGCTCGCCTATTAAAACAAGGTCCACTCCGCCACGCGCATACGTACGCATAGGGCTGATCGAAGCGGACCTCGCGGTACAACATCACGACAGGCACGTGCATCTAGACAGATGTACCGCGACGAGTGAACAACCGCAACGATGAGACGGCGGTAGGAGATGTACCTGCAAAAAGCATGATGGGACCCGCACATGGCGTTGCTAGGCGTCCAGGTGCTCACTATACTATCGACGCGCGATTGTTCAACACCATTAGCTCCAGTTTGTGAAAGAACGTGCACGTGAGTGTTTCTTTGCTGCATGCGTGTCAGAACCCTCACACTCGGGTAGCACGGAAGGGGAGCGTCGCAAAGAATCGAGCGTCGTGCTGACATCTGCTAGCGAAGAGATTGCAGAGAACCTGTTCACCTGTCGTCAAAAGAGTGCTGGACGTCAGAGACATACAATAGTTCACATGTTTTGGTCGAACGAGCGCGGGGTATCATGTACGTATTCGCATCGCGATTGCAAGAAAAGCTGTCGGCGTCACGCAAACCGAAACGGATGGGCGTTGCCGCTCTATCGTGTCTCGCAGTTGGCTTGATGTGCGTTGCGCATGCAACTGCGTCATGTATGTGTTGATGCGAACTCCCTCGTTGAGTGGTCGCACTGACCGCCGGTCAGCTGCCAATTCTCCCGACACGTCAACGCGTTGTCGTAAGATCGTGGGTGATGATGGGGTGGGTACTTCTTTTCAGCTGGCAAGCAGCAGCTCGCTCGCTGGCACGACAAGCCGTAGTGCTCTAGGCAAGGAATGAGCAAAGAGCGGACAGCTTGAGACACATGTTATCGCACGCATGGGACGGCTAATGATCAAGCGACAAACGCTGCCAGCTTTTACACTACCCTGCTTTTGGTTTCTAGGAAAACAGCGGTTCCGGTGTAGGCAGAGCCAGAAGTGACGAGAAAATAGCTGCAACTTGTGTCGCAACACCGACAAGTTCAGGTGAGCAGTAGGAACACTGTTAACCTCTAAGTAGAGAAGTTCCACAACAATGAAGAAGATAAACAGTAGACACTGCGTTGGGATACCCCTTATAATCAACATCAAGCAATTGCGGAGAAAAAAGGTCATGGTCAAAAGCGTTGACATTCGCAGAGTTGTCGTGCTATAGCCCGAAAGATGAAGAACGGGTTGTTGCGCGCGGCTTCGTTTGTCCCAGCTTACAACGTCTATCTTCACGGGATCTTCTCGAGCAATTCCTTCCGCACAACCATGTGGTGAAGTGTTGTCACTACGTCAGCGGACTCCTGCGCAATTGACTTCGCTCATTCTCCATTTTGCTGCCCACAGACGACAACAACAACGTCTCGGCATGAAGCTGCATCTCCAGCTAAGCATCGCAAGTGTGGTACTAGTGACTGCCCAATGTGAGCTCCTCACGTCAACCTACACGGGCACGAAGGGACTACATGAGCTGGCCAAGATGCACGGCAAATACCTGGGTACAGCCACGGACCATGGCGCATTGACCGACAAGTTTTACGTCGCAGCCCTTCAGGACGTGAAAGAGTTCGGCATGATCACGCCTGGTAATGCCATGAAATGGGATGCGACAGAACCGACGCAAGATACGTTTACGTTTGCCAAGGCCGACGAGATCGTTGCACTCGCAGAAGAAGCAGGGGCTCAAATCCGGTGCCACACGCTCCTGTGGCACTCACAAGTCCCGAACTGGGTCCAAAGTCTCAGCAAAGCTGAGATGCTAAGTGCTCTGGAGAACCACATTACGAAAGTCATGACGCATTTCGGGGACACGTGCTATGCGTGGGACGTGGCCAATGAGGTGATGGGAGATGACGCAGTGTATCGGAAGTCGTTCTGGTACAACGCTACGGGCACGGACTACATCTCGACGGCATTCAAAACTGCCAACGCTGTCAAGAAGTCACTTGGTCTGAAGACAAAGCTGTACTATAACGACTACAACATCAATGCGATCAACGCCAAGTCAACGGCTGTGCTTGATATGATCCAGAAGCTGCTGATTGATGCTGACATCGGCATCGACGGCATGGGGTTCCAGTCGCACTCGAGTGCCTCCGACACGGATACGATCGAGGGCCTTGTGGCAAACATGGAGCGCTTCTCTGCTCTCGGACTTGACGTTGCGTACACGGAACTTGACGTCAAGACGAGCTCGCCCACGCCATCGAAAGAGGAGGAAGAGAAGCAGGTTGTTGTTTACACCAACACGATTGCTGCATGTCGCAAGGTGAAGAAATGCGTTGGGGTGACGATCTGGGACCATAGTGACCAGTACACCTGGCTCAAAGACTCGGCTCCGCTTCCGTGGCACCAGCCGTCTGGAAAGGGCACGAAGCTTGTGCGCAAGCGTGCGTACGATGGCATTGCTGCTGGGTGGGGGTACTTCCACTGCGAGTGGGGTCTCTTCAACGTCGAGCAGTTTGGCTTCTGAAAGTGAGACTGAAAGCTCGAGCGCGAAAGACGAGAGCAGCCTTGACGATGCAAGTTTGACGGAGGATACGAGTGACGCTGAGGCACCGGGTGACGCCGAAGCTTTGGCGGCGAGTGGCGCGACTGAGACCACGAGTAGCTTCGCCAGCGACGATGACACCGTTGTTGACGAGATTACAAGTGACGCAAGCAACAGTAAAGAGGTTACTGACACGACTGGCACCTCACGCCAAAGCGACTCGGTTACGCAAGAGCTACCGTCGTTGGATTCTACAGACGTGGCAGACGATAGCGGCACTCAAACTTTGCCAACGAAAAAGGTCGTTGCATGCACTCGTCGACTTCGCAAGTAAGCAATGCCGCGAAAGCACTTGCTCGAGCTCGATGTTGTGTCCGTTGTGTGTTGCAGCCTTTGATTCGTGAGAGGTCGAGCACTTGACCTACAGACGTGACGATCGATTGGGCGAATGGATCACATGCGTTTGTTTTGGATAAAACCCTCTTCCGCTATCCATGATGGTGGCAGTAATGCTTGAACGGATCGTTTTGTTGAATGCGTACAGCTTCAGTCGAAGGTCTTGATATTGTTTCATTGTTCAGCACGTGTAGAGCTGAGCGGTTCGTACGACAGTTTGCAATAAGAAGAGTCGCCCGATGCATAGTGTCTGCTGAGGCTGTCGGGTGCTCGGGCATTAGCATAAAGAGCTTGCGTAGTCGATCCACGCTCAGTACAAAGTCGAAATGTGAACCAAATCCGTCTACTACGTTTCCGTCAAAGTGCACCTCCATCAAAAGGTGGCAAGCAACTTTGTGTCAGCACGGACAGATGGTTCGGTCCGACCGTCAGTGATACGTCGTCGTGGTCTTCGATTCGTATCGATGGAAGGCTTAAACTTGGTCAAGAGCACGGCAGCAACACGCGTCCGTTTTCTTCTTTGACCCGTTACCCCTCTACGGCAGCAGTAGACCCATTCAGCGGCGGTCAAGACTAGCGTGCGTATCTTTTGCCCGCATCCACGTTACCGTTGGCTTTAACTCTGTAAAGTCGAGAGTCTCCCAGATCACTTCGGCGTGAACCGCTTTGATGCATGCGGTACTGAGCAGCCCCGACGGTCCGAAAGGACTAACGTATCCACGCTTGTGTGGACGATGTCCTCGTGTCGAGACAACAATATATATCTATCCTCACAGCAGCATCGAGACATCAGTCTCTAGGTGACCACCAACATTACTTCCGGTATTGCCATCTTCTTTAGTGGACAACCGTGCTACCTCCGTCAGCATCGTGTGCTACAACAGAGTGCTTAATATACTTTGTGTATCCGTAAGCTTTGTAGGATCACCTGCGATGCCACCAACAACTTCCGTCGGCTGTCCAGTATCTTTTATCTCACCTTGTTGTCTTGTTTATCCTCGTCTAATGAGTCCTAAGTCGTACTTTGTGCGTTTTGTGCAGCATCGTGTAGGCGCCGTTTCTACACTGCGCTGTCCCATCTTACTGAATGTCAAGGAGACCGCCAAGGCGATCGATCACACGAACATCATGTCAATCAGATATATCAAAATAAAATAGAAGCAACGTGCTCTCATAAGTGAAAGATGAACAACACTGTCACACTACGCTTGAAACATTAACGCGCCTTATCTTAACGGAGTACCCGCGTTACGTACCATTGAGACATTAGCGAAGAACACTATGCGAATAGTATCCTTGCTCATCATATTATTCGTACCGTTGATACACTTTTCGCCAATGGTTGATATAGGCCATGACATCAGTTAGAACCCACCGTGCAGTGCTAGACGCGACTCATCAGTGGCGACTGCTGGTGTCAACCTCCATGTTTGTGTAGTTCAGTACAGCC